AGATAATCGGGTTTGAAGGTTTTCCATAATTTAAGACAAAGTTTCAAATTTGAAGTTAAATATCTCGGAAACTATTTGCGATAAATGATTCAAGTTTATTTTATCTTGAAGAGCATTTAATTCTAATTGAGAATATATAAATATACATTAGAATTTCTAGAATATTAGTTGCGTAATGAGCGATTTTGTGAAGTAATGTCGGGAAATCAAAATTTTTCAGTGCAAAAAATGCAAGAATGATTTTTAATTTTTTACGAGCTCTAAAACCTCAAAATCACGAAAATCAAAGTCAAAAATTAAAAAATTTGGAAAAATCAAAATTGAAATTTTTCTAAGGGGTATGCAAGGAAATTTCATTTTCAAATATTTCAAAAGGACATATTTTGAAGGCCAGAGAATCTATCGGCACAATATTTCGGTTAGGGCTTCAAAAAAGGTTATTTGGGGCACCGAGCCCTAGATCTTCGTTTTCGAGATAATAGGCTATGAAGGTTTTCGATAATTTAAGACAAAGTTTCAAATTTGAGGCTAAATATCTCAGAAACTATTTGAGATAAATAACTCAAATTTGTTTTATCTGAAAAAGCATTTAATTCTGATTGAGAATATATAAATATGCATAAGAATTTCTAGAAAATTAGTTGAGTAATCAGCGATATTCTGAAGCAAAAACAATTCCTAAAATTTGGAGACTTGGAATACAAAAATAATGAAATTTCAAAAATAAGAAAAATATGAGAATTCAACTTTTGTTTATTCCAGGCCCTTGAATTTTTGTCTACTTCTAAGGAATAACAGAAAATTCAGTGTGAGATAAAAAAAAAATCAGTTTCAAGAGCCAGGAGTACAAATAAAGACAATTACAAAAGTTTGGAGACTTGGAATACAGAAATAATGGATATTAAAAACCTGGAATAGTTGAATGACTACTACTTTTGTTTATTCCATGCTCTTGAATTTTTGTTTTCTTCTAAGGAATAACAGAAAATTCAGTCTGAAATAAAAAAAAATTGAGAGAGTTTCAAGAGTCAGGAATAAAAATAAAGACAGTTCTAGAAGTTTATCACTTGGAATACAAAAATAATGAAAATTCAAAAACCTGAAATAAATAAATGAGGAAAATTCAAAAACCAGTGTCGCACAGAAAACCAAATCATGACAATTCATTTTTGCGGATTTCGAAATACCTAATTGGGAACATTTTTGTTTCAGTGATGCAGCAACATTTTTGCTGATGGACTTTTGAACAAACATGAGTGGTGTGCCATTGTATATGTTTTATTTATTTAATTAGTTTTTTTTTTATCTACTCTACGACATGAGTATTCAATTAAGATAACCTTAAGGTCTGTGACATTTGATTTTGATGCTGACTCGACTTTTGTTCAAGGGAATAAGGGAAACTCATTACCCAGAACTTGGGTGACCAAAAAGCTAAACAATTTTGAATTACTATATAATGTGCTTGATATGAATATGGATTTAGTGTTAGCAAGCAATATATCAGACATATGCTGATAATATTTTCCGGAGTGCCGACTTTCAAACCTCGTGAATGACCAGAAAGTGAAGTGAGTTTTGCCCTATAGAAATGGTAGGTTGTGTCTGTTACTTCGTTATACTAAAGTTTCTACAATTCTCTAGGACCAGGATTTTCGGTTCCATTTCAATTAATGACTCTGAAGCAAAAAATCTAGTGACCAAGATTGAAGAATGGGATGGTATTACCCTACTCTAGAATTTTGATTTGATGCCTCTACTTTAGAATGCACATGACTGAACTTCAATTATGTATTTGTTTTTATCCTTATATGTTACCGTTATGAAATTTAATATTTGGCATTCTTCTTCTTCAAGTGCCTTGTCCTTCATCCGCTATCTGTATATTGTCGACTGCTTTTCTAAATAGACTCTTATTGTGTTTCCGCCATTCCAGTGACGCAAATTCCTCAGCCAAGATATTCTTCGACGGCCAGGGCCTCTTCTGCCTTCGATTTTTCCCTCGATCATAATCTTGAGAAGTAGATATTTGTCATTCCTGAGTATGTATCCGAAGTACTCTAACTTTCGCTTTTCAAGCATAAACATAACTTCAAGATCTTTTGACATTCTCGTTAGCACATCTTCATTGCGCACTCTGTTATTCCAAGATATTTCCAACATCCGTCTACATTGCCACATTTCAAAAGTCTCTAACTTTTTACATATAGCTTCTGTCAGAGTTTACCTCTCAATCCTATAATAGAAAATACTGAAGACGTAGCAACGTAGTACCTGTCTGACTGAGAGCGAGAGACCTCGACTACACAACAGGGACTTTTATTTCCACAAATGATGCTCTGGTTTGGTCAATTCTGGCACGAACTTCTTGTATCTTATTCCAGTCTTCATTAACATGATATCTCTGTATGATTGGACCTGATCGATCTGTTGGTGAATCTGTACCTGAAGAATACCTCCTCCAACCTGGTTCTTACTAATCACCATATCCATTTAGTTTTTTTGGCATTCAATTTCAATCCAAATTATACACAATTTGCAAAGCAAAATTTAAACAAAAAGCTGGTTTGAAGAATAACAAACTAACACATTCGGATATTTATTCTTTCGAATGTGACACTTGTTAAGCAAAATTTAAACTGAAACAGAATTTGAAGAGTCACAAACTAATTTATTTGGATGTTCATTCTTTTGAATTTGATACTTGCAAAGCAAAATTTAAATGAAAAAACAGAATATGAAGGGTCACAAACTAATTTATTCGGATGTTCATACTTTCGAATGTAACCCTTGCAAAGCAAAATTTGAACAAAAAGCCGGTTTGTAGAATCACGAACTAACACATTCAGATATTTATTCGTTTGAATGTGACACCTGTAAAGCAAAATTTAAACTGAAACAGAATTGGAAGAGTCACAAACTAATTTATTCGGATGTTCATTCTTTTCGATGTGACACTTGCAAAGCAAAATTTAAATGAAAAAACAGAATATGAAGGGTCACAAACTAATTTATTCGGATGTTCATACTTTCGAATGTGACCCTTGCAAAGCAAAATTTAAACAAAAAGCCGGTTTGAAGAATCACGAACTAACACATTCATATATTTATTCGTTTGAATGTGACACCTGTAAAGCAAAATTTAAACTAAAACATAATTTGAAGAACCTCTTAACCATCCTCTTTTGTCGATTGTTTATCCTTTGGGTCTTCAATGGACACTGCTCATATTTGTTATCATATCCATGTTCTCAATTTATGTACTCTTTCTCGTTTTCAGGTTTTTATTCCCCTTGCCTTTCTTTTAAGGCGTTATACTTGCAGAGTTCTTATAGGTACCAAATTTGTCGAGATTTCAGTGAATCTAGCAACAGCTCTTTATTAGAAGGCGACACCATTCAAATAGATTCCTCTCTAATAGATGACCGAACTCGTCCTTAGTTGGGCTGCTCTTCAATAGAGGGCACCAATACCCAGTTTTCTTATTCTTTTTACATTGAATAAAAAATTAATATGACTTTTTTGATTTTTGATTGGAACTCAAGTTAAATAGTAAAATTGTCCAGGCTGGTTCAAGAACTAGTTTGGATCGAACCAGGAAATCTAAAACACTCTAGGCCAGCAAAGATAGTAGACTGGCGGATATTCCCAGAAATCGTACTCTATTTTACTCCGAGCGGCATTTCGTGCGACATTCGGCAACTTGATGTTTCTAGGGTATTTCGACCCCGCTAAATCCGAATCCGGATGTTGCCAAGTCGAATTTTGCCTCCAAAGGCCCCAAATCCAAGATGGCGGCCAAACTGAGGGTCTAAATGAGACTTTTCTTAAAGTGTATCGTTATTCACCGGCGAGATGTCGTTTCATATGTTTTTGGGGTCGCTGAACATGAATATGAGTACCGGAAGTCGATTCGGATACCGAAAGTACCATAATTCAAGATGGCGGCCGTCGGGGGCCTATAAATACAGAACTTTCAGAAGTGGGCATATTGTCAAGTGCGGCGTATCAACACATATGTTCTTGACGTCGACTAGATCAAAAGTTAGCACCAGAAATCGATTAGGCAACTGGATGTACCGTAATCCAAGATCGCGACCGGTTGGGGCCCAAATACCAAACTTTAAAAAGTTACTATAATATGACGTGCTGGGTATGACCACTAGTGTTTTGAAGGTCGCTGAACACGAATTTGAGGTTTGCCGAAATAAAATATTAAAACTTTGAGGGATATACAAAATGCACAAAACATTTTACATGAATACATCATCACTGTCATTGTTGTTCTCCCTCCCGCTTGCACTTGCACAAGCCTGTGCCGCACCCTGACCTGGCTAGATGCATATATAGCAAGGCCAGACCTTCCTGATCCTTGCCGGTACGGATGGCGTCTGTAGGAGAATTACATCCCAGTCTACACCACCCTGCCAGCGGTGCCCAAGGCCTGTACGCAGTTACTGAGTTGTGGCTGCAGATCAGGGTGCGGTACAGGTTTGTGCAAGTGCAGCCGGGAGGGAGAGGTCTGCACCAAGTTGTGCAAGTGTCAGGCAGACTGCGAAAATAACAAATGTCACTGATGATGTATTCATGTGAAATGTTTTGTGCATTTTGTTTACCCCTCAAGGTATAGTTGTACTATTTTCTTTCGGCATACCTGTGTTAACATGTTTCCTAGAGCTTTTCCGACCTCAAATTCGTGTTCAGCGACCTCCGAAACACTTGTGGTCGTACCCAGCACGTCATAAAATAGCAACTTTTTAAAGTTTGGTATTTGGGCCACAACCGGTCGCCATCTTGGATTACGGTACTTCCGGTTGCCTAATCGATTTCTGGTGCTTATTTTTAATCTAGTCGACGTCAAAAACATATGTGCCGATACGCCGCACTAAAATTTCTGAAAATGTCCACCAGTCTATAGAGAAAGTGAATGGAAGGATTTTATTATCTGGAAATAAGTTTTCATTCTAAGGAAAGTAATGAGGACGAATATGAATGCGTAGTTTAAAAATGAAAACACTGTATAATTTTCTCCCCAGGGAGCTAATGATAAGCTACATAGTTTGTACATTCAAATTCTAAATAAATGGTTTGATACAAAATGAAATTTTTTCCTAATATTATTTCAATACTTAGAGACAATAACCATATTCACAAACAAAATGAATGATAACGTAATCATTCAACTAAAATAATATCAGATCAATATTTAATACGCAGACACACTTATAACAGAGTGCTTCTTTATCCTTTCCATTTTATCAGCCGACACAGTGGATAGACCGTCCCATTTCTGTCTAGTCGCTGAGGCAAAAATTACATAAAATGTTGAGCTGAAAAAATAAAATGCTGCGGACACTATGAAGACTATTCGCCATTGCGAGGCATCGGTCTAGAAAACAAATTGTTAATATTTTGAAGCCAAATGAAAAAAATACATATTACTTTGTCTTCGACGACAAATTGTACTAACAACGGCGAAAATATTGCAATCAGTTGACTAGTGGAATTTGTAAATCCTTGCATAATTCCAGAAAATCTGGGCGACAAGTCCACATGGTTTACCGCATAACCGCAGAGAGTTGAAGAATATGCGGCATGCGAGATTGTAAGAAGAAAAACCGCTATAATTTTAGTGGAAGCACAATAGGCTAGAAGGAATAGGCATATCACAAGAACGTACGCTCCTAAAAAAAATACAAAGTGTAATCATATAACATGCTATTGAAGTGAAACTTCTTCAAAAAAAAAGCGGAAGCCGTGTGTGTGTCTATCCTTGTCTTGCATAAGAAATTGGAAAAGGACATTGAATAAATACGATGGATTTATTTTACTACGCGGAGCAATGTGGTGTTTATTATGTTGCATTAAGCAAAACAAACTGGCACCTTGTCCTGTTTGTACAGTATTGTATGTAGGTATATAGTCTAAGTCCCAGTCTTCATTAACCTCATATCTTAGATATCTGTATGATTGGAGCTGATCGATCTGTTGGTGATTCTGTACCTGAAGAATACCTCCTCCAACCTGGTTCTTACTAATCACCATCCGTTTAGTTTTTTTGGCATTCGGATCGGATATTTATTCTTTTGAATGTGACACTTGTTAAGCAAAATTTAAACAGAATTTGAAGAGTCACAAACTAATTTATTCGGATGTTCATTCTTTTGAATGTGACACTTGCAAAGCAAAATTTAATCGAAAAAACGATTTGAGGAATCATAAGCTAGCACATTCGGATGTATATATTTTCGAATGTGACACTTGCAAAGCAAAATTTAAACAAAAAGCCGAAAAAAAAAACGAATTAGTTCAATCAAAGTTTGCTACTAACTCGACGTCGTGGTAGTAGAGGGGATGCCTTGCATGTTTCCGTTCTTGAAGAAGTTTCAGTTGAATTATAAATCAAATAAAAGAATAACATAAAAAAATATATTACCACACACTTGGAACATTCGTCTTGCATTGACCCGCGAAATGTAACTCTTACTAATCAAATAATCGGAAATGGGTGCAAAAATGAGTCCTGTTATTGTTCCTACCATGGGTGGAATTGCAGATATTAAACCATTCTTGAAAAAAAATAAATCAAATTATTTCAGAAAAAAATAAACAGAAATATTTCTTACCGCTCTGATATCAAATTTCAAAACTTTGGCCAAATACGTTGGAGTTTGAGTCATCAGCATGGCATATCCCCAAGATCCACCAATATTCGCAACAACGATAGCCCATAAGTGAATCGACGTGAATATTGACCACCAAGGTACAGGAAGTTCCTAAAAAAATCAATTAATAAAAACAAAATACCCACATAAAACATCTTACAGCATTCTCAGTTGTTTCTCCCAAAGACGCTTCAATATACCGACGTTCCTCCGGAGTAATCGAAGGATGAACAGCAGGACTACTATGGCCGAATATCAAATATAAAACGCACCAACCGATACCTAGTCCTCCAAAAATGTAAAACGAAATCGGCCAGCCTACCCACGATGAAGATGTATAACCAACGACTATAGATGAAAGTATAGCACCACAGCTTATACCCGAATAAACGATAATTCCTAAAGTTGATATTTCTTCAGCTGGTGCCCATTTGCCTATCAACGTGTGAGCTGAAGGGAATAGAAATCCTTGGTTTAAGCCTGAAAAAAAAAATGTTAATGAAGATATACCTAGTTGTGAGCTATAAAGGTACTGAGGAACATCACCTATTTAAAATATTATTTCTTCGAATCTTAAGTTAAAAAAAAAAAAAAAACGTCTACTATAGAAAAAAAGGGTAAATGTTGCAACCATGTATGCGCCGTCAAGTTTAGGGCTGAACGGGACCGAAACCGAAGAGGAGATAGAAGGGAATAAGCGACTAGACTAGAGAAGAAGCTTGGCAGGTCCCTTAAGACGCTTGTCTGCCATTGTTCATTATTTAATTTTTATTTTTATTTTGTATTAAACTGATTGTTTAAACCAATTTATGATTAGTTTTTGTCTCAAAAGGAGCGATCACAGGTCAGTTGAATTATTGTTATTTTGTTTTTTTGAGCTCAATTTAAGCAAGTATTTAAAAAGTAATACTTGTTTTTATGTTTTTTTGTTTGTTTATAACATTTTTTATAGCATGTGCATTGTTCATGTATTTAGCGAAAATCGTTTCATGCTGTGAACAAGTTAAACAATGTAGATAAAGAGTAAATTAAAACCAAAGAAATTAAGTGCTGTCTTAAGTCCTGGGAATTTGATTTTGGATTCAGATTGTACATTAGGGCCTTGTTGAATTTACTAACATTTTCCTACCCTGACGAGCGAATATCTTAGCAAACAAATTGAAATAATCAAACTAGAGATATTGGCTTAAAAACAACTATAGCTGAGTAGCTTCCCGTATGGGACCTCAGTACCTGCTGGTGAAAGTGGAATTTAAATTTTAGCACAAGAACAGGGACGGTACCTAATTTAAACTTTTATTGACTTAAATTATTGAATTAATGACTCACAATAATTATCATAAACATGACACAATATGTTTTGATTTTTGAGAAATGTTAGATCGAGGGTTTCTCTGCCGTTCTCTTTTCCCTCGAGAGTTCCAGGTCGAAAACGGTACGATTTACTTTAATAATAAAGTAGACGTTTCACAAATTTTTCGTTTCTTTTACATATCACAACTTTGCTTAGATTTCCCTAATATTTGCTACCTCGGGCGCATGTCCAGTAAGTAAAATTGAGTAAGTTTCCACAACGTAGGTCCTATTTGTTATTCATTTAATTTTTCAGAAAATTTGTTGTTTAGAAGGTAATAAAAATTCACACTGTTCAATCTTACTGAACGAACCCGTTATACTACAGTACCTACCTTGTATGATTCTACAAATCATTACTCCAATAGAACCCAATTGGTCTGCAGCAAATGGAATGCATATATAGGCTATGGAATTAAGCAAAAAAGTGGGCAACAAAAAATACTTTGCTCCATAGGTTTTTGCTAGATATCCTGCTAGGACTTGCAGACAAATGTATCCCCAAAAAAACGATGAAAGGATGACACTGTTGTTGTCCCAGTCATAAGTCTACAATGGAGTTGTTATAAATTTTTTTCAAAGAAAAAAAAATTCTTACAGGTATTTCAGGATTTGGAGAAGTTGTATTATCAGTCATAGCAACTATAGCAATGGAAAGACCGGTCCTCATTGCTACGCCGATAGTGAGACTCAGAAAAATCAGGCCTATTTGCACGTGACGTGCACCAAATTTTGGCCCTTTATTATTTACGTCGTATCCTCTAATACGGATTTCTGTTTCTTTGGTGCTTTCCATAAAGACATTTTTTCTAGCTAAAAAGAAGGGTAAGGTCGGTATATTTAGGGCATGTTTGATTACGATAATACTCTGATAAACACCTTTATTCAATAATTGATAACGGCTTCCAAGTGCCATTTACTTGTTGTTTTTACTTAAATTTCAATAACATGTTTTAATTGGCCTAATTAAGTATTTACAAAAAATCTTCTTCTCAAATCACATTAGACTTTAGAATGCTGAATGCTTGTACTTAATAGATTTGAAAACAATACAGCCTAGCAACAAAGAATAAAATTATTTTTTTGGAGATTTTGTAATACTAGACAAAATCTTCTATTCTACATTAAGAAGGGCTTCAATTATTTGACGTTATTTAAAAATTTCGAATATAATGCAACTATTTAGTACGTACCTTCTACATCCTTTTCCTGGGTAAAATCACCCATAATCGAGACTTTCTTTTGACTTTTCATTTTTGCTTCCATTTTTCCTCCACAATCGAAATACCACTACTCAGATAGTTTAAATTACATTTGACGCCAAGTTCTTTATTTTTATCTGTACATACAATGCAAACTTTTGATCGTCTTCGCATAAGTACCCTTCAATGAGACAAGATATCTGAAGTAGCCAGGATTGATATCATTTCTGACTAACTATGGCGAGGTTTATGACGTCTTTTTCATTATTCAAATAACTTCAACTATATGTTCAAATAACTTATTGAAAAGTTCTTTAACTGGTAATCTATAGATGGGTTGGCTTCAAAATATAGGGTTTAGGAAATCAATGCAATGGGCAAGGATTCTTATTTTGTATGGGAAAAATAATTTCTTGAAGTGGATTTCACTCGACGTAAGCTTATCAATAAGATAAGGTTTTTGCCACTTGGAAATAGAGATTTTATCAGATTAATTTGAGTCTTTTTAAATTGGAAGTTAATGAATCATTAATTGCTTATTCAGAATTAAAAAAACAACAGAAGTATTGTTAAAATTTATTATAATAACTCGGACATCTTTCAACAAAAGTGAAAATACTTCAAATAAAAAAAAAATATATACAATCTTCATAGAGACGATAAATTATAAATCATTGTGGATGCTTCAACTGGTGGTACCATTAAAAAAAAATACTATCACAGCCTTCCAATTTCATCAATAGGAAATTTCGGGTTTCATGGGATTTTGCTGCCTTTATCATCTACGAAAAAATAAATCAAAAATAGAACAAAAATAACTACTAGAGATCAAGAACTATCGAGTCAACAGTTATGGATAGTCAAGAAGGTTTTTATTTATCTGTGGTGTATGTAACGACTCTGACCCGACATAGAGTCACACAGCAGATGGATTGGATAACATGGTTTGTGGCAGACAAGCTGAGGCTACTCTTAATAATGATACAATGGATATGTCAGTAGCAAAAGTCTGCCCATAGGGTGGGGCCCTATCTTCTAGTATAGGGGAAACATTCTCAAACCTGAAAGAACAATGGGGTCTTCTCAGAACTGGAATCCGAGAGGAACATCCGAACATACCAGGATAACAAACATTGTTACGAACTCTCGTTCTCTGTTTGAGAGATGAGTGAAGTGTCAACATGAATCCGAGAATAAACACTTACAACCGTTTCAAACTCAGATTAACTGGGAGAACAAAACAGAAAACTCACTAGTCCAGAAGAGCTCTGACCAGACATGGAGTCACACACATCATCAGCAAATGATAACATGTTTCGTGGCAGACAAGTTCAGGCTACTCTAAATAATGATACAATGGAGATGTCAGTATCAAAAGGCTGCCCATAGGGTGGCGTCCTATCCCCCTCATTGTGGAACCTGGTCGTAGACCAACTCCTAGTAGAAGTTAATAGCAGAAACATTTATACCCAGGGTTACTCAGATAATGTAGTAACTGTAGTCATGGGAAAACATTTACAAACTACTTCTGCGCAAATGCAAAAAGGACTGGATCAAAAGGGCAAACCTGAGAAGACAGCAATGGTCCCCTTCACGAAAAGAAGAAAATTAGATGATCTGTCCCTCCCACTTTCTTGGGAAAGCAACTACAATTCTACCGGAAAGTCAAATTCCTAGGAATTATCCTGGATGCAAAACTAACCTGGAACGCACATATTGAATACTCCACCAACGAAGGTATAATGACGCTGATGGCCACCAAAAGAGCAGTGGGAAAAACATGGGGTTTTCTATTCCACATAGTATGTTAAGGATCTATACATTCATCATCATTATAAATCAGCCTTGTCTCGTCCACTGCTGAACATAGGCTTTTCCTAATAACCTAATCCATCTTGCTCGCTCTTGGGCATCTTGGATTCAAATTGTAGATATCCTCTTGATATCATCTGTCCATCGAGTTGGCGGTCTACCCCAGCTTCTTTGTGCAGCATCTCTAAGTTGCCTCTCCAATATCTTCTTCGTCCACCTATCATCTGTCATCCTTGCGACGTGGCCTGCTATACAGTAGTCTCAGAATAATCTACCTACGAATCAATAAGAAGTTTGGTGGCCAAAAGTCGAACAGAGCAAAGCAATAATGGAGCTATCCAAACTTCAAGTTTGGCTTTGCATATTGGGTACAATGAGAAGAGAAACCATACTAAACCTTCCGCCTCTTGAAATCATTATCAGCTGCGGAGGGAAGAATGGAGGTTCACAGACTCAATTGTAGCCAGAACTAGTGCAATTCGAGATGAACATCTGAACATACCAGGATAACAAACATTGTTACAAACTCACTGTTTGAGATGAGAAGTGACAACATGATCCCGATTAACTGAGATAACAAACCAGAAAACTCACTAGTCCCGATTGGAAAGTTAGTATGGTACACTGATTGCTCCAAAACTGGCAGTGGAACCAGTGTCGGAGTATATGGCTTATCCTCAACAGCAAAATGGCTTTCTCCACTTCAGAAGCATAACATCATACTCCAAGCCGAAATACATGCAATAGAGATATGCCTGCGGAAAAATCTGAGCAGGGGATATGTATGTACACAAGGATATTACCATCTTTTCAGATAGCCAAGTAGCTAGGATTTGAATTTGAAACTCTAGCATGTCAACAGATAAACTCAAAATTATTGTAGGATTGGGATCCAAAACCTCGATACGTGGATGCTCAGAAAAAAAGATCCGAGAGGAACACAAAAACCATTGGTATTTATACACCAAGGCAACACCACAGGGTCTTTATTCTTGAAACAGGGGAGCAGCGTTTCCAGGAGAACGAGTGTTCCGTCTTTGTTACTTATATTATCAGTTACATATCGTTGAAAAAGACGGAACACTCATCCTCCTGGGAAAGCTGCTCCCCTTTTTTAAGAATAAGGATCCAGGAAGGTTTCAAACCTATTTTAGCAGAACATAAGCGCCGGAACCATGGGGGCAATGGGGGCTTTAGCCCCCATAGTAGATTTAGGTATTGTATGTAGTGGGTAGGTAGGACAATATTGAGTTCCTAACCATTTATTTTTATATCAAATTTGTGTTTTATGTTTTCGTTGTTTTTGCTATACCTACATTAACAAACAGTTTGAATATTTTGCAGTGTAGTATTTAAACCTGTATTTTCAATAAGTCGTTGGATTCGGAAATTTGGAATATAGGTGGAAGGGATCCTGAAAAGTAGATATTCAAAGTTTCAGCCCTCTCCGACCTACCGGAGGGGTTTTTGCCCCTATCCCCCCAATTTTGGAAAAGGGTGTGTAATGGTGCATACACGCCCTGCATTTACTTTTTCGAATTTTGTAAAATCAAAAGTACCACCGGATAGAGGAGCCAAAAATAAGTCGAATGTGTCTCCTGGTGTTTTTCGCTCCAACGCTTCGTAAGCCCGAAAAAAATAAATAAATAAAAAAGATAAACTCAAAATTAGTGTAGAACTGCCATCAAAAACTGCGATACGTGGATGCTTAGAAAAAAGGAACCGAGAGGAACACAAAAACCATTGGTATTCACACACCAAGGTAACACCACAGGGTCCTTATTCTTGAAACAGGGAAGCACCGTTTCCAGGAGAACAAGTCATCCGTCTTCGTTACTTATATTTATCGGTTACATATCGTTGAGAAAGACGGAACACTAGTAGTTCTCTTGGGAACGCTGCTCCCCTTTTTCAAGAATAAGGACCCAGGAAGGTTTCAAACTTATTTTAGCAGAAACTTACACAGCAAAGGATACAATAAGCTATCTAGCAGTATCAGGGAATCACTAAACCCTGCCTTGCTGCCTAAATGTTGTCTGAGCCGCTTTCCAGTATGAGAGTGTGACGCTCGGAACGTTGAGCTCCCGAGCTATACGTATGGACAAACGTCAAACGTCATGATACTGGAACGGTACAAATCTAGTGCGTGGAGCTCTCTGGGTGCTCTAGAGCGCGCCAATGTGCATACTGGAAAGCGGCTCTGGTGGTCAAGTGTATGAGACCTAGCTGTCCCAGCTCAAGAACAAGTGACAAAAATGTATTTCAAATACATAAGTGACGTCATTAAAGTAATGCCGAGTATTCAAAAAGAGAAAATACTCCAAAATGAATTTAAATTACAAAGCAAACAAAGTACTGAATTTGTGGTTCTAGATCACGTCATTGAATTGCAAATTTATCAGATTTGGAAGTTTCAGGTTGAAGTGTAATCTGTAGTCTAATATCTGTTTTGGATCAAAATGAATTTTCTGTGGTCAGAGGTAAAGTTCGTCGATTCTAATCTGATACTCCAAAGGAATGTGAGCTGGTGGCACCCTACATTAGAACGCCAATGGCTACCTGACGTTACACCTAGAGCTTCATCCCCTTGCTCCTCATACGGAAAGTGTCAGATTAAAAACGACTGATAATAACAGAATGGTCGAATTGGTAGGTTCGAAAAAGAAGGAGAGATTTAGAGGAATTTGTTTGTTGAATTGTTGTTTAGCTTGAAGACTAAGGAAGAGATGGGGTTTGGTACATTTTTAGTTGAATCGACAGTTCTCGATCTCCTATACCAATTATTACCTGCTGGATTCTCGTTCCACTTCTGCACTTCCCCAGACCCAAAAAGCACATAAAACAAATCGGTTGCCACATAAATTCCAGACGCAATGAAAAATATAATTTTCCACTGGTCCGGATTGTTTTCGTCGGGTACCAAATACTGGACCAACAATGGTGCTACTATACCGAAAATATTTGAGATCCCATTGGTGATTCCCATAAGTATACCAGCGTGGTTTGGAGATATGTCTACGTGGTTCACGTTGAAACCACAGTAGATAGCTGAATTGAAGCCTACAGCTATGACTAGTAATGCTACAGCACGTTTTGGAGCATCTGCTGGTGTTACTCCTAAGAATATTAGAGCTATTGCTGGAATAATTAGGCCTAAAAAACAATATTTGATTTAGGATTGCTTGGTAAGTGTGCTTACTTACCTATGCTATTGAAGAGTTTCCTAGAATTTCCTCTGCTCAAAATACGTCGATTTATGAGAGAATCTGAACTGAAGCTCATGAAAAAACTAAGAACCCACAGTGCAAAGTAAGGTAGAGCAGAAAGGACACTATTCTGTAAAAAATAATTGTTATTATGGAACTCACGCAAGACAAATTATAATTCCTTACTGATTTAATATTAAAACTCATAACGTGTCCCATATAATTCGGAATCTCAGTCATCAGAGTCCAGAAGCCCCAATTTTGTCCACAATGGCTAATCAGTATCGCCCATACGGGCAACGAGGTCCAAATAGACTTCCACGGAGTACTGTGTACTGTTTTTTCCTCGGTATGGCCCAAACTGTGCTCTATGTAATATTTTTCTGCTTCAGTTATACTCGGATGATCAGCTGGACTGTTGTTCATAAACATCAGGGCAAAAATTGCCCAAACTAATGACAAGACACCGTAGAGGTAGAATACTAGAGGCCATCCGAAATTACTTGCCGAAAATACGCCTGTTACAAGCATGCCTACGACTGTTCCAAATGGTCCGGCTAGAAGGAAAAAGAACAAAATTGATTTTGATATAATAAATCAGTATTCAAATTCTTACCAGCATAAACTATAGTTCCCAGTCTTGATCTCTCATCTGGTGGAACCCATTGACTCAACGAATGATGAGTGCTAGGGAACAGGAACCCTTGGCAAAGTCCTTGCAGTGCCCTATTGATCATGACACCTTTGGAGCCGAACCATGCTGCCATGAAAGGTAGAAATATGCACAGGCAGCCACAAATTGACATTGGAGCTATGAGGAACCATTTGAACCCGTAACGACCTGCCAACCAACCCGCTATAACTTGTGGCAGCACGTAGCCCCAAAAGAAAGCTGATAGGATTATACTTTTGTCGTGCCAATCTGGATAAGTCTAAAAGGAATTTCCTTATAAGAATTTTACCATCTATGCAAGGTGAATAATCCCTACATGGATTTTCTTTTGAAATCCCTGATGCATTTAATAATATGTTTCTAGGTCGTCAAACAATTAGAAGTAAATAAGATAATTTTATACAAATAATACTCACAGGTACATTTGGGTTGCTGCTCGCTTTGGGATCTGTCATAGCTACAATAGCTACCGAAAGGATTACTCTAACACCATATGCGAGAAATATTAGGATAAATAAGATGAACATTTGGAAATGGCGTACGCCAAATGCTGGAGCTGGAATAAGGAAAAATAAATATATTAAAACTACTTACTTATAACTAACTTACAATGGTTCGAACCTAAAGGTTCGTACCTGTACCGTTTTTGCCATCGAAACATTATTATAACTGACTAACGTAAATTATTATTATCATAAATAATTTTAAACATATTGTTTTAGCACGTAAAACTGTATCATATTTGATTACGCGTTTTTACGACAGGAACGCGATAAAGTTGAGTGCACTCGCCGTACCGAGAGGTTAGGTTAGTAAATAAATCCTGCTGTATAGTGAAAGTACTTTGTACTGCCTAAGCAGGCTATCAAGTACCTATACTATAGTACTGGTGAAGGATTTAATTTTTGTTTGTTGGGTTGCAGACTGATAAATTCAATTTTTTTTTTGCGATTTGTAGTCTGGTTTATTCCATCAAATATTGCCGGATAAAAATTTTCCACAATAAATTATTGACAAGAAATAATCAGAATTCAAACACTAACAATAATAATTACTGGTCATTATTTTAAGTAGATTATTCTCAAAGATTTTAATTGGCTGGCTTACCTTTGGTTGCAACAGGTGATCTTTCTACGGCAGTATAGTTTACCCCTGCAAAATTACCCCCAATATTTCGATTAATAAATTTATTATTTTTAGGCATGGCTGTAATCATGAGAAACGTATTACTGCTAAAGTTTTTGCTTTTGGGTGCTTTATTGTAGCTTATCTCGAAAATGGAAACAGTTTTATTTTACAACTAGGCAATATTAGGTATTTTGAATTTTGAATCATATACAAGGTGTCTATTTGTCATGTAATTCTCGGATATCTTTTTGAAAAATGGAATGCCTTGATACAGATATCTTTGTGGGAAAAGTGTGGGAAAATTAGGATATATTCGGAAGTATAAGAAATTCCTGGAGAAGTTAGAGAAAGTCCGTAGAAGTAGAAAATATGGTTTGAAGAAATCCGATGACTGCAGAATTTGATGAAGTATGGGGTGATTGAGTAGACTTATTGGTAAACTTATTGGTACTCAATTACCTCTATAAATTATATACTCGGGAACAGACTGGTTTCTGCTCTGGGTTCGTTACCAAAGTATCCTGTTTGCAAGTTCAGTTCCATTCTGTAACATGGGATAGATCCCATTCTGTCCCTGTTGACTTATATGGGTCAAAGGTGCTTATAGCCCATTTGACTTTTTCATAGTTGACTAGGTACTTTCTTCAAGGTCAGCTAGTCGTTCCTAAATGTTCTTCGAAATCTAGGCTCATTCCATGTCCACTGAGTTTAAGCAACTATCTTTGAGTGAGCAAATACAGATAGGCAATAATAACATAGAAATAGTGGACAAGTATGTATTCCTGGATCGAGATGAGAATTCACATAGATAACGTCGAAAAGAATAACCTTGAGTTGGGCAGCATTAGGAAAAATTGAGGATGCGTTTAGGGTTGACATTTCAATTTTCCTGAAACGAAAAGCATTCAACCAGTGTGTCCTTCCAGTCCTGACTTATGATACGGAGACATTGACTCTCACCAAAGCATCAGCCGAAAAGTTGAGAGTAACACAGGAATGAATAGAAAGATCCATGCTTGGATTGACTTTGAAAGACCGAGTAAGGAATAATTAGATCCGCATAAGAACTGGGGTGGACGATATTGTAGAACGTATCGCAAAACAAAAGTGCAAATAGGCCGGTAAAGTGGCAAGATCTGAGGATGAGAGATGGACGATGAAACCCATTAAGTGGACACCAAGAGCCGACAAACGGAATCATTCCATGGACATTCACTGGACAGACGATCTAAAATGGAAACTGCTCAGAACAGAGAGAACTGAAAAAATTTAGAGGAGGCCTATGTTCAACAATGAACGTGAGAAGAAGCTGTTTGATGATGATATTCGGAGGTCAGAAAAAACTCAAATCTGATAAGAAATACCAATAATGCTTCAAATTATAAAGGGATGCGAAATTTGAAAGATGGTTTTCTCCTCACTTGTAAATGGACACCCTGTATATTTCCTTTAAGCCAAAGCTATTTAGTTTGTTATTAAATGAGAAACATAATCCGAAAAATATTATTTAATCTAATACGTGAAAATCGTAGAGGATTTATCTGATAAATTCAATATTTTATGTATACCTAATATTGACGTAACTATAGATGTTAGGCTGATGATGGAATAAAAAAACAATAAAAATTGTGTGCTTGCCCAATTAAATAAATTTGATTTTTACCTTGCACTTGAAAATTATCACTTATATAGGGCAAATCCTCATTATTATCACTGACTATCGTATATTGTCCTTTTCCAATATTGGACGACATATTGTTACGCGTATCGGAATGAAAAATTATTTTTTTTTTTTTTTGAAGAAATCTACTTTTATACTTTACTATAAACTAGTTTGGTAAATATTTGATTTTTGTCGCGCGTATCAAAATTTATGAGCAATTTAGATATCGAGAAGTCACAAAATTAAACCCGATTTATAGTAGTATGACTCGAGGTATTACCACATGGATTTTAAAAGGACTTAGTCTAACTTGGGTCAAAATCAAAAATATCCCTTATCATTCAATTAGCTTTTGAAAAAATGTGCTAACACAACACTGTAATATCACTCCTATTGTTGTTGCCGAACTTTTATAGCTTCTTACCCCTTTTCTCGGGTCAATAAGTATCTTGATGGACGCACAGGAAAACAGCGTATCTACTTTTTGATGAAAATGTAATAATCATTTGCTTCCCTCATTTCCTAATAAATCTGACACTTTTTGAAAAAAAAAACTTGAGAAAGGTAACCACTAAGTGTCTGCCTACCAAATCTTTCCATTTTGTATTGTATCGATACATGAATACTTTTTCTAACTTCTTAAAATACAAAATATAATAGAAATGTCTTTTGAATCTCAGCTTTCATCTCCTAACTAAAAATGTATAAGTCAAAGAGAAAAACCTACCCAGGGATTAATTGAAAAGTGTAAACATTAAGAAACCAAAGCACCCTCTACCTCGGTAGAAAACACCCAATGACACCGGTCCATGGCCAGTCGAGAAAAAAGGTGTAAAAGGAATTGTCATAGAAAAGCGTCAGCGTTGTCAGCACGTATTCTCTACTTCGGAAATCTTTATTGCTATATTTTTTGCCTTTTGTTCAATTAGTACAGTATTTGAAATAAATATTCGGAAATTTAGTTAATCAATGTGTTCCGTGTTAAATTTTTTCCCAGTGCACTCCTGATCAAAACACCCCAGTTAAAGTGGCGCCCAACGTGGGGCCCCGAGTTGAAAAGCAAATTGTGAATTTTTCCTGTGAGTTTTTCGATTGTGGTCATAATCAATCTCACCAGCTTCACCAAGGACACCAATTTCATGGACTTACGTTCAGGTCGGATATCGAAAAGCACTGAATCTAATGAAATGGAAAATAACGAAGACAATCATGATAGTACTCCATAGAATGTTACAAATTCTTATACAGAGCCTTACTATAAATCAAAATACCAATTTAAATAATTCAGAGTGAGGTAATTTTGCCAAATGCACAGCTCGTTTTGCTGGTTCATATAGCAGTGATGTGAATACGTTTATTGATACCATCCTTATTTATAAAGACTGCGTGTATGTTTTTGAAAATAATGCTCTCAAGGGTTTTCCTATGCTTCTAGAAGATCAAGCTGCAATATGGTGGCAAGGAGTAAAATCCAGTTTTGTTACATTTGATGATGCGCTTTGGACAAAAAAAAACTTCCACATCAACTATATTGTGAGCTATTTTCTAAAGAACAAGGTAATGGAGAGAAAACTGAAATTTTTGTAAGCCGATGTCGAGCCATTTTCTCCAAATTTCCAATTAATCACCAGATTTCTGCAATTTGTCAGTTAGATATGGTTTATGGTCTATTGAACTACAATATTAGAAAGAGAGTTCCTCGGGAGAATGTTGATAATTTCAAAGAGCTTATTCAAAATGCTCGAACTGCAGAAATCACTCTACTGGAAAAGAAAACTCATGATTCTGTTAAATCGAGCCCCCACAAAGAAGCTACAACAGAAGGGAAGAAGTTTTCATTGAAATGTATTTATTGCAAAAGTTATGGCCACATCATAGAAGATTGTAGAAAATTGAAACAAAACTCTAGACTGGAAGAAACAAGTCGGAAGTCAGAAAATCCACAAGAAAAAAAAAAGTTTCTACGGCAATTTCTTGCTACGGTTGTGGAAAACCAGGTTACATCAAAAGTAACTGGGAACTTTTTCGATACCGTGGGAAAATCTCTAGATCGGCGGCGCCTTTGATCTGAAATTTTGGGGATTTGACCCGGGACAACCCCAAAATTGATGAATACAAATGGAAGAATTGGTTAAATATTCTTCAGTTTTCAAAAAGTAGGATATAAAAAAAGTGCTTCCTCAGGGTAGGAGCTTCACGGAAGGGGGTTTACAGTGGAGGTGGGTAGTGGTATGATGGCTGTGCTGGAGGGGGGTCTTTACGTGGTAGAGATGGGTATTGTTCTGATAGCTGTGAAAACACTCTACTCATCTTCAAGGTGTTACCAATTATCCTTTTGGAGTGTCTTGCTCCAGGTGTGGACAGCCTAAAACCGAGGTGTTCGTCAGCCTTTTCGATGCTTTCTATCCCCGAATGCCCAGGCACCCACAAGATCTTAATCCTGTTATTCCTTGATGACAGAGCTTCCTGGTAGTGTAGGCATTCCATCGTTATCTTCGAAGTGAATCGGTGTGAGTTGAAAGCCCTATCAAACTTTTCTTGAAAGAAAACGCTCCTTAAATTCAACAACAATTGTTGATTGAACTTGCAGATGGCATAGAGAGGAATGTAACTTCTCTAGTTTTTAATGTTGAAATCATTCTGAATGATAAAATTATTTCAACATCACTTGTTGCCATTCCAGAACATATCAATACTAGGACTTTACTTAGTTTAGACTTCATTGAACTTGCTAATATTTGTAATGGACATTCCTCAGGCACAACGGTATTATGCTGAAACTCCACAATTTTCGTATTTATTTGAAGAGGAGACTAATTATGTAATAACTACTGTAGAATCTACTCCAATGTTTTCTGTACAAATGAATGCATCACAATTGAGAGAAAATGAAGGTGTATAACTAAGCCAACCGGAAAAGCAAAAAAGTTAATTCTTACTGCACCAATATGCTGAATTATTCACATTCCGTACTGAGCCAACACCATATGCAGAACATACAGTAAAACTGACTGATGATATTCCAATTTCTGTACCACTTTATCGGATGTCTGAACAAAACAAAAACATATTGAGGGCAGAACTGGATAAGCTTCTGAAAGTTGGAATCATAAAAGAATGCGAATCCCCGTATGCTGCTTCAGTTGTTCTAGTACCTAAACCTGATGGTAGTATTCGCCTTTGTGTCAATTATCAACGCCTAAATGAGAAAACAGTTTCCGATAAATACCCACTTCCTAGGGTTGATAATCTATTACACACTGCAAAACAAACACTCTTGATTTAAAATGAGGATACCATCAAGTCTCTGTCCGCGAATCTGATCAAAATGAAACAGCATTTTTTTGCCATTTGGAATTTTTCGTTATACGAGGATGCCATTTGGAATGAAAATTGCACCCTCCACCTTTCAAAGACTCATTGACCGATTCAAATCCGGAGTCCAAGATTTGACCATATTAGCTTATATAGACGATTTGATTGTATTATCCAGAACTTACCAAAAACACCTTTCTGATTTACAATTAGTTTTTGACCGACTTGTAGCTTCCAAGCTTCACCTCAATCGATCCAAATGCCATTTTCTGTGCTCCTCTGTGAAGTATTTGGAACACGTAACTACACCCCAAGGAATCCAACCAGATCCTTCTAAAATCACCGCTATTCTGGAGGGACCACCTCCCAAAAATGTGAAAAAGCTTTTGTCTTTTATCCAAACATGCTCTTGGTTCCGGCGATTCATTTCTTCATTTGCAGAAGTTTCAAAGCCCTTAACCTCCTTAACCAAGAAGAAAGCTATTTGGAAATGTGAGAAGAAAGAACAAGATTCTTTCGACCTTATGAAACAACTTTTGACTATTAATCCCATACTCCGACAGGCTGATAGTACATTGCCTTACATGTAACTGATGCTAATTCATACCTTTTAGGGGCAGTTTTATTCCAAGGGGAGAAGGCCGATGAAAGACCTGTTGAATATGCAAGTCCACTACTCACACCTGCTGAGATGAACTATCACACTACAGAAAGAGAAGCTCTAGCAGTTGTGTGGGCTGTGGAGAAATTTAGAGGCTACCTGGATGGAGCTAAATTCATTATCCAGACTGACCACCAGCCATTGAAGTGGTTAATGTGTTTAAAATCACCTAGTGGCCGATAAGCTCGATGGGCTTTGTCTTTACAGGCTTATAACATGATAATTGAATATGCACCTGGAAAGGTAAATGTAGTGGCTGATATTTTATCCCGGTCACCACTAGAAACGTCTTAGACATAGGTAAATGAAGTTATTGTTGATTTGCCCGGAAAAAAAAAGAAGACATTAGAAGGAAACATTTAGAAGATCCGGATGTATTGAAAATAATTTCATCTTTACTGCTATATTTTTTGCCTTCTGTCCAATTAGTACAGTATTTGAAATAAAGATTTGGGAATTTAGTAAATCAACGTGTACCGTATTACATTTTTTCTCAGAGCTTGCCTGATCAAAACACCCCAGTTAAAAAAGTAACTGTATTGTTATCATTTGGCCACTAATAATGGATCAAAGTAAAGTGATGATATAATAACAACAATCCAATATTGATAATAATATGTAGGTAAAAGTATTTTATGTACCTTATACTTGAAAGCCCATTTATGAATAAAATACAATTGAAATTGCATACCTTCTTCTTCGCGTTTTTCATCCTTTTTCACATTAAATCCATTTTGTTTTTCAATTTTTGCCAGCTCAAACTTTTCTTTTGCCATAATACCGACACACAACACACACACACTCTATATATTCGCTTTCAGTGACTTATTTTCCTGTTATCAAAATCTATCGCGGGAGGAAATTTTTATTGAACTTTTCCCATTGACATCGGCTACTGATGTAAGCGCTCGACCGATACGAAATTGTGCTTATATACCGTTTGGTGGTTTTTGTTGAAAATTTACGATGCTTTTTCAATGTTTTGTGTCCGATAAGTTTGTTTTCAAAATATTTGGAAGCAACGCCCTTTCTCATGACCTTACGATAAAGGATAGTGTTTTGGACATATAAGATAGTATTGAAAAAAATAAGATTCAATGTAAACTTTTTGGTGACCCATGAAAATTTGCTGCGTATTTATTTGTTTTTTTTTCTTTTCTGATAAGAAATATGCGGTGCTACTAGAAAACTATTGTGTATTTGTGTTTCATAAATCAATTATCTGAAATGTTTGAGAAAGTTTCTATAGGTATAGTCCTGACTTTGTGTTGTTATTTTGTCAATTGGTTTCCTTAAGTACCTATAGTAAAACTTTGGAGTTGTTTAGGACAATGGCATAGAACCTCAAAGTATAAGTACCTTCTTAAAAAGACATTTTTACCTCGAAACAAAATCTAAAAACTTGTATGTAAAGGATAATTATTTTTGCGCAATCATTTTTCAGTTCCTTAGGCAAATTTCATCAATGTCACCATTAGTTGTCATCCTTTCTTGCTAGACATGCATTACATGTTTAATGAAGTAACAACCTTAATACGATTGAAGGTAACAAAAACTCTGATGTGTTTTAAGAAAAATATACCTACTCACCAAAATGTAGTTCTTTGACAAACATTAATAAAATTTGGAAATTAGGTAATGATAATTAATAGAAAACACATCAAATTGAAAAGAAATATTTAATATTTAAGTTTCAATTATCGACTAAGGAATGCAGAACTATGTGAATTTTTAAACTTAATAATAATGACTGGTACAACAAAGCAGAAAAAAATCTAGCGAAAATAATTGGATGATATTTAAATAAGCGTTAGGAAGTGCGTAATGAATAATTGTTATTACTTTTCGTAAATTCCTTCTATACAAACGATGTGATTTTTTACTTATTGTATGTACAATAATGTTGTCCTTGGTCGTTTTGAATACTAACTGCACTACAAGACATAATTATTTTTTTTCGTCTGTCCGGAAATTGTTAATATTCCGTTAGCAATTGACACCTTGGATTGGCAAAAAAAATAATTTAGCGACCGATAACTGGCTGGCCAAATTCAGGGATCGCGTTGACGTGCATAGGAAATCAGTACCCACCTTTGGCAAATAATAAATTTCAAAGATAATTAAAGTGAACGTTGTGCAGTGGATGTTTTATATTTTGATTATATAACGTACTTATTTGGCAAGTGCCTAACTATACTGCGTACGGCTAGTCAGCATCAATTCGGAGGCCATGGGTTTGTGGATTCCTTCTAGACATCTTATCTCTGGGCGCCACCAAGTTAATTGTGACTTAACTAGGAAGATTACTTAATGATGTCATAAACAAAACCTGTGCAATTGGAGAGCTTAGCAATAAGACAACTACTTAGGTACAATAATGTATCTGGCTTTCTTTATTAAAAATAATAACAATATTAAATAGGGATAGCCAGGACGTTGTTTAAAATGTGTATAGATCATGGCTTGTACGAATTTATAAATATTTGATTATAAAAAAAAATGTAAATAATATATATATGAATTTAAAATAAACAGTTTTACTTGTTTGTTTACACTTGTGAAAGATTAAGACCACAATTCAGTTACACTCTACCAAGAGGCAAATTTAACACCAGAAAGGTAAAAATTATTATTAGGGCAACCTCAGGGTAAAATTCTAGAATTTTATTTAAGGGACACGTACTGACGTAATTCAGTTTCAGATGATTTATATAAGATTTGCCTAAATAGTAAAAAATGCAACTTATATGTATACAAGTGTTAGTTATCTTCAAATGTATGTGTAAACTCAGGAGTTCCTAAAGTGAGGTTATCTACATGTTTGGTCTCACTGTAGATCCAGACAGAAGCAGTTAGCAGTTCTAAGTTTGTTCCAGACTATGGTATGGTGAGTGAGTCCTATGGAAGTCTTATCCACGTTTTATCTGTTTAACGTAGGACTCAACGTGGTTCTATCAGAGTGGTACCAAAAGGGTTGCTGAAGGGAAGCTACCAAAGCCCTGCGAGCAATCTAGATCCAGCCTAGAATCTCTCTAAATACAGCCTAGGACCTTCTAATTACGGCCTAGGACCCTATAACGATGTTCGTATAAAAAACAGATCGAGCCCCAAACATTAGAAATAATCTTACCTCTAACTGAAGGATGCGCTAGGCCAAAGGTGAAGTCTTAAACTTCCAAAAGCTGCTCGGAACGATCCTATTGAAGAAATGAAACACGTGTTGTAGGTTAATAATCCTGAAGAAAATCTCAAAACTTACCGAAACAAAATCCAAAATGACCAAGGGACAACTCTAGACAATGATCAACAAGAACTAATTCGAGTTTCCCTGGCACAAAATTCCAAAAAGTCTCGCCTAAAAATAATTAGGGCCAAGACCGACCTCACAGTATTAGGTCTCCAGATCAAAAGGGCAGATCCTTCCTTCTAGATTTCGGAAGAAGGCTTCCATTTGTCAAACTTCTAATTTTGACATTGATGAAAATTATTGAAAAGGGCGTGTTAAGTTTCACTCCAAAAATACGTACTGAAAAGTGGGTTGTGTATAAATGACTCCAGATAACCGGTGAATGTTGAAAATTGCCTATAGAACATATATCAAAAAATAGAACAGGTCTCAAGAAAATGCCTAGACAAGACAGCTTTTCAATGACAGATGTATCATGAAACTGAAAAATCGAAAAAAGTAAACAACAGCAACTCTCATAACCTCAGATTATTCAATTGGATTTGCCAACAGAGTCGATGGTACTATCTCCTTTTCCTAAGATTCTAATCAATAACAGCGGGCCCTGCCGTACTGAATCAAACCTTCCTAGATCAATTAACTACAATTGCAAACCTGAACCAAAAAACTTTTAGTAGAAGGCAACCAATCATATCCACTAGAGCAAAACAAAGTAGCATATTAGCCAAGAAATTGGAAATGCTACAATTATACCGATTAGAGGTTTCATTGAAAAAAACTTCGTGACTATATGAAGCTATCAGAAAGTCAAGAAGTTCAAAAGTCAATTATATTATGATTTTTCCAAGATATTCTACAATACTTAATTTTCTCAAATTCTGTCTTCCAGAAGTCTAATGATATGAACAAACTTCTTGCTTCTTTTTTTTTTCAGTACGTATTTGTCCACTCCTGAATATCTTTCCATAATGTAAGTTGTAGGCCTCTTAGGTTCACTCACGATAGGCAGCAATCATAAAATGGTAAGATGTAAAATAGCTATAAATGGCAGACTAGAAAGAGCAAATAAATTCAGTTAAGCACACATACCAGTAAAACAGAAAAATCAGAATTCTCAAAAAAATTAACACAAAACTGGAGAAGGACCCTATAAAACCCCACGATAATATATCAAATTGATAAAAAAATAACGAAAACAATAACAGTAGAAAATATGAAAACGAAGGCCAGAAAAATTTAGCAAAGAAACGAAATAAATGCTGGAAAAGAGAAAGAAACTTATAAAAAAATAGTGTTCAAAAGTACCTGTTTCGTAACATGAAAGCGTTAGAAGGTTTCTCAACGAAATTATATGTTTTTTGGGGTGTTGAATACGAATATGAAGTTTGCTGCTTCGTAGCAGTACCCGTGCAGGTCTAAAAACGTCAAAAAACTCAAAATTTTTGGACTTTTTTTCGGTTTTTTGGTCATATCTTGCAAACGACGCATCGTGCGGAAAATGTCATTATATTCAAAGTTGAAGCGCATAAAATTCTGCGTCGAATGACTCATCTAAGCTTGTTACTGTTGAATTTATAGGCTCGCCATCGTCAGTCGAAAAAAGCCAATTTCAATGAACTTGTGTGCAAACTGCAATAAACTTACTTTTAGACGACAGTGATTTCAAAACAACCACTCGTCATTAAAAACTTTCAGCAGTACCGTTGTTAATCACTGTCACCTGCCCCCCCTCCTTCCCTCTCCCAACACATCCACTATGTTGTTGCTCGTTGGGTGTGGCGAGTCAGTTTCACATACCACTTATAAATATATGGATGCCCCTGTAAATAAGTTTTTAGGCCACCAGATAAACTGATGCGCTCAGTTTGAAGACGATCCACGTGTTGGCGCTCGCGATATTTTCATTTTATGAATGGGTACTGATTACTTCCTGTTACACCTACATACATAATACGACATAATACTTATAAATCCTCAAGTCAGGCTTACGAAAAATGAAGGGGAAAGTAATTTAGGGTCGAAAAGTGTAGTTTGTGAAGTATTGACAGACACAGACTTTTTATTATTGGAGCCTTTCATTTTGCCAAACAAGCTTTAAAAGGGAAAATGAAATTATCAGTATAGTAATGCGTATACACCTATTGATCAAAATTCAAAATTTTGGTGCTCACTGAACTCAATATTTGGTTGAGTACAACTTTTCTTCAATGATTTTTTTACGTGGAGTGGTTGTTTTGAAATCACTATTGAGGAAAACCACCTATTTAAAATATTATTTCTTAAAATCTTAACTTAAAAAAAAAACGTTCACTGAATAAAAGTAAATGTTGCAACCATGTATGTGCCCTCAAGTTTAGGATTGAACGAGCGCGCCACAGAAAACGAAGGTACCGAAACCCAAGGGAATACAAGAGAAGACGCAACTAGACTTAAGAACAAGCTGGGGCTGTTCCTTTAGACGCGTGACTGTAATTATTCATTATTCAATTTTCATTTCTATTTTGCATTAAAATTGATTGTTCAATCCAATTTGTTATTAGTGTGTGTGTAAGGAGCGTTCACAGGTTAGTGGATTAAATATTATTTTGTTTTTGAGAGTTCAATTTATGCAAGTTCCTATTATATTGTTCATTTTTATGTATTTTTTGTTTGTTTATAACATTTTTTATAACATGTGCATTGTTCATGTATTTAACAAAAATCGTTTCATACTGTAAACCACACAGATAAAGAAGTAAATTA